AGGAATGACAAAATCTGAGCAGCATAAAAAAAAAAAGTATGTGCATCTACATAGTACTGACAATAAAACTCCTAAATAAGTGGTTTGAATCTGTTACTTTCAGCACTCTTGGTTTTATCTGCTTTTCCAATTTGCAAGGCAGCACTGTATAGTATTCCAGACAAGCAAAGGAGGAACTTCAGAACTGTTTTATGCAAACTTTGACTTACATGATAAATGACAAGGTCTCCTTGGTGACCAGAAAAATAAACCACTAGGTGGAGGAAGAAAACCACATTGACAAATACACATCAGTCTTGCATACTGCCAAACACCTCACTTTCTCTTTTGTATGATCCAGGAGACCTTAGATTTTATCTGGGTCTACAGACAGGACCAAATGAAAGGGCTTGCTCAAGGCCATTCAGGTAACTAAGGTGAACAACCTAGCTCTGAAAAGTCAGCTGCTGTTACTACTCACAGGGTGCTCAAAGTGCAGAAAACAACTGAAGCTCAAAACACCATCCACAGGGCCGGGGATTTAGCTCAGTGGTTCCGACGCCTGCCTCGAAAGCGCAAGGTTCTGAGTTTGATCCCCGGTTCCAAAAAAAACACAAAAAAACAAAAAAAACAAAACCACCAGCCACAGTTCATGCTAAAGCACTTGGTGATGAGTTTCACAGGATGAAGCACTGCCCAACGGCTCATAATGAGTGAGCAATGAAACGCCGCTTGAGAAACTGATGATGGTAAAGAGTGCCTGCCCAAAGCTCCTTAGGTCAGGGCAGAAGAGCGGTGTCATGATTTGCACATGGGCCAGGGATTTAGCTCAGTGGTTCTGTCGCCTGCCTCGCAAGCGCAAGGTCCCGAGTTCGATCCTCGGTACAAAAAAAGAAAAAACCTACATGATTTGCACAGAAAAAGAACTGTTTCCTATCTCTGGAAAGAAAAGACGGAGGGCACAACAATACTACCCTGAGTAAAGGTTATGCAACTGGAAATTGCCTGCTAAAAATGGGAAAAGGGCATATATCATGTTGATATTTACTTAAGATTCACCCAATTCCAAGTACTAAGCAAAATACTGTAAAGTCGTACTGATCAAAGTGTGATCTGCTGAAAGCTGGTCAAAAACTGAGTCTCAGGCAACACCCCAGACCTGCTGAATCAGAATTTCCTAGTGAGTCGCATGCATATTAGTGTGAGAATAGGCGCGGCAGAGTGCCTCACTACTTTCTAACAGCCTTGACACACGTACTGTTAGGATCTCCATTTGACAGGGTTTGGTTTTGTTTTTAAATTAAGATTCAGGTAAATGTCTTGCCCAAGGTCACAGAACTCCGGAGTGGTGAGGGTTTCCTAGAGCACGGCTCGGCGAGGAGTCCACAGCTCGGGCAAGGAAGCGCACAACCGGGCCTAGGGGCACACAGACCCTGGAACGACCAGAAAGGCTCAAGCCAGGGCGATCGCAAGCACAAGGAGCAGCCACCGCGACCTCTTCACCGGCCGCTGCCACTCACCTGAGCCTGGAGAAGGAGGGGATCGCAATACCAAACGCGGGATATCGCAAGCCTCGTTAACACACTTACTCACCCGGCAATGCCTACCCGCCTCACAGCCTCACTTCCGGCCAACTGCTCTCTACTTCCGCCGGCTGCGCGAGTGACGGGTGCAGCGGAGGGTCAAAAGACTCTGTCAGCGTTTTCCAAGGGCGTTTTGTACTGGTGGATTTAGATGAAGAGAATGAAGGAGTCTAGGACCTGTAGAAGGAAAATACTATCCTTGGTGGATTGCTCTGGAAGTAACTGAGCAGCGCATACCGAGATTCAAATCCCAAGACCCTACTCAGTATTTTATGGCCATGAGGAAGTCATGTAAAGTCTCTAAGCTTAGTTTCCCATCTGCACCGTGAGTGAAACAGTACATTTTAGAGATGTATCTGTAATGTGCTCCCAGGAGACAGTGATGGATAGACAGATGGCTCAGAGCTGGACCTTGAGGAGGCCAGAGCTGTGGCAGATGAGCCAGAGTGGTCTTCCACCTCCCTTGGTGGGGTAGGAAGTGGGGGAAGTCCACACCTGAGTCAGTTTGGCCACCTAGACAAGCTACCAAGCTTCTTCTACCTGTCAGGGTTACTGAGGGTAATTGAGAGCAGCTGACTGGGATCTGTGTGCCTTGTCAGTGCCTGAGACACTGTCCATTCATCCTGAGGACTGTGAAGGAGATCGGAGAAATCTTGCATCCTCCAGGGCACCCTCCTGAGCTCTCTGGCAGGCACTGCTTTTAACAGCTGTGAACCTTTGGGGCCCCAGACCAGCTACCACTGCTTAGAGAGGGTTCTGTCAACAGGCTGACCAGGGAAACCTTTTGGTTGCTGGTTCCAAGGCCAGGATTACCCAGAAACAGCAGAGTATCCCCAGGAGATGAACTGTGATTTCTTCCTAGGAGGTGTGACAGTTCTGTTTCTCTTTGGCAAATACTTAATTTCCCAGTCTCCCTTGAAATACCAGGAGTTGTGACTCAGTTCTGGCCAACATGATTTAAAAGGGTGCTGGCAGGGTTCTGGGAAAGCTTTTACTTTTGTGATAAAGTGGTGAGATCAGTCCCATTGCAGAGTTGTGCCAGCCACATTGTGGCAAAGAGGACACAACAAACTAGGATGGGAGAAGGGGAGTGTCTTAGTTACTTTTCTGTCATTGCTGAGACAAAATACCCAACACCCAAATTTAAAGGAGGAGAGGTTTATTTAGCTCAGTTTGTAGAGGTTTCAGTCCATAATCATCTGGCTCCAAGGTAAAGTGGCACATGGCAGAGGAGCATCACAGAGGAGAAACAGTTCATGGTGCCCCCAAGGTAGAAAACCAGCAAGGGGATTTAGCAGCTTTTGTCTATCCTCTTTATACTCTATCTAGGCTACTGGGATTAGGGGGTGCCATACCAGTCAGTGGACTGATTTAGTAATCACATACTCTTAATCCCAGCATTGCATCATGAATCAATCACACACTCTAGATCCAGCCACCTCTGAAAAAGACTGCATAAAGCTTTGGGGGGACATCTAGACACCAGTGATAACAGGGAGAATGAAAAGTCTAGGTTAGTGGTGGTATACCGATGGCATGTGTGCCACAGTGGGCTGTTCATATCATTGAAAGCTCTAACGGTTTACCACCGCTGGTCTAGGTCCACAATAAGCCAAAATCTGTGACATTCACATCCAGATTTTTTTTTTTAATTTTGTACCGGAGATCGAACTCAGGACCTTGCACTTTCGAGCCAGGCAATGGAACCACTGACGTAAATCCCCGGCCCTCACATCCAGATTTATTAGGTGAGAAAAAAAGAAAACATTTTTTTTAGACAGGGCCTCAATATGCAGTTCAGGCTGGGCTTGAACTCACTATGTACCCCTGACTGGGCTCAAACTCACAGTGATCCTCCTGTTTCAGCCTCCCGAGTGCTGGGCTATAGGGGTGTGCTACCACGCATAGCAGGTGAGAAAAAATTAAACTCTTTAAAGTCCTGTAAAGTTGTGTTACTTAAAACAAAATTTGTTGTTATTTATTTATTTTTGGTACCTGGGATTGAACTCAGGTCCTTGTGCTTGTGCAGCAGGCAGTGAAACCACTGAGCTAAATCCCTGGTCCCTGTTGTTACTGTTTCTTTTTTTGGTACCAGGGATCGAACTCGGGTCCTTGCGCTTATGCAGCAGGCAGCAAAACCACTGAGCTAAATACCTGGCCTGTTATTGTTTTTGTAGTACCGGGGATTGAATCCAGGGCCTTGTGCTAAGCTACATCCCAACCTCCTCCCCCCTTTTAGAGTTGGGGTCTCATTATATAGTTCAGTCTGGCCTTGAATTATGTAGCACAGGCTGGCCTCAAATTCACAGTGATCCTCCTGCCTTGGGCTCCCAAGTTAGGATTACAGGTTTACACCTCCACACCCAGCTCAAACCCTTTTTATTTATTTATTTATTTAAATTTTGGGCCGGGGCTTTAGCTCAGTGGTTCCAGCGCCTGCCTTGCAACTGCAAGGTCCCGAGTTCAATCCCCAGTACCAAAAAAAAAAAAAAGTACTATCCTTTAATTTTTTTCCCCAGTACCAGGGATCAAACTCAGGACCTTGCACTTGTCAGGCAGGCAGCTGAACCACTGAGACAAATCCCTGGCCCCTCAAAACCCTTTTGAGAAAGGGTCTTGCTAAATCACTAAGTTGCTCAAGCTAGGCTTGAACTTGCAATCTTCCTGCCTTGGCCTCCCAAAGTACAAAATGCGTTGTGGGACTTTGTGTGAGGACGGAACTACAAAAGGACAACTCACTGGTATGCAGTATGCTTAGGTCCCTTTTGCCACTAACTGCAAACCTTTTCTCAGCCTTCATTCTATGCATTCTGCCCTCAAACATCACCGGTAACTGTAAGGTGGCTGTCACTGCAAGCTGCATTTAGCTGTCCTGCATCTCCTGCCTTCTAGCCAACAGGCTGATGTCCAAATTTTGAGCTACAGGCAGCTTCAAACCACCCCCCACTACTTTTTTTTTTTTGTACGTGGGATCAAACTCGGTTCCTTCTCCTTGCGGGGCAGGTGGCGGAACCATTGAGCTAAATCCCTGGCCCAGCTTCAAACCCTTTTAATCAGAATGTGAGCTGAAGAGAAAGCCCCACTGGGCACAAACGTGGACCCATGACTCCTCCTGGGTAACATGGAGGAGTTTGGGCTTTGGGCCAACCTCCTGGCATGGCCCACTGAGCACCTCTGGCCTTGTGCCTCCTCTGGGAAATGTTTACTCTAGCTCTGCCCTCCACATTCCCCACCCCCAAGCTCACCTCCCACACCTGCGAAGACACAAGCAGGCCACAGAATCCCATTCAAGAGGCTTTCTCCATTTTATTTCTTTGGGAAAAGAAAATGAAAAGTCTTTCCATCACATATGGTAGATATATATTTTTATATATTTATATATAATTTATTTTGTGGTTGGACATCCCAAAGCTGAGACTGTTCATATTTTTTTCTTTCTTTTTTTCTACTAATGCCCTCTCTTCTCCCAGCCCCTGTGGCCCAGGTTCTGGGACAGGTGCAGTGAGGGGTGAGTGGAATGGGCAGTGGTTGTCAGGATGGCCTCCCATCCAGCTCAGAGACCTGGTGAGGACTACCCAGAAGGGGCTGTGCAGTTAAGAGGCCACACAGAAGGGCACTCATGTTTTTGTGGGGGATGCACAGCTCATTAAACAGTCACCAGTCATGGGAGGAGGCTGGTCAGGGTTGGGGGAACTTGCTCACAGTAGTTGTCAGTTCACTCCACCTTGCCCCCAAACTCAATATTGGGGGCAGAAGAGTGAAAAAGAGAAATACAAGTGCTGAGGGCCAAGCCTCCTCCAATTTTTATTGCTGGTGAATTATAAATTTGCTTTCTTAGAAGGGAACTTAAAATTTCCCTTCTTGTCTTGGGGAGATAAGCTCTGAGAGGGCTCCCAGAGAAGGAAGTGACATTGGCTGTCCCAACCCCTACTGGTGGCCCTGTCAGGCCTCCCTGAACAAATTGCTGAGCCAACTCAGAGCCTAGGCAAGGAACACCAGAGTGTCCCTCTCAGGTCAGCCTTGTTCCTCAAGGGCAATCACATCCAACCCTCCCTGGGCCCCTGAAACAAGGGCCTCAGGCTCAGACTTGGGCCAGTGGAGCTGGGAAGCAGGTAGTGCACCAAAGGTCAAGCAGAATTTTCTACTGGAAAAAAAGGTGAGACTTTGGAGAAGAGGCAGCCTGGGAAGATAATGTTCTGAGCATGAAAGCAGAAGGCTGGGGAGGTGAGTGAGGGAAGACACAGGAAGACATCACAGACACCTATCTGACCTCAGAAACTGGACAAGGGGAGTGCCTGAGAGGCAGGTAGCACTTAATAGCTGTAGTTAGACCCAGTGGCCCTGGATGTGGGGTCACCCAAGCAGCTGGGGGGTTGCCCTGGGGGATCTTGGCTAGAAGGGTGAAGGTTTAAGCCTCCAGGTAACCCTTTCCAAGAACAGGAGGGCAGATCTCCCTGGGCACTGAGCTGCCAGTCCCAGCCCTCCCCTCCCCCAACACATGCACAGGGACACACACTCAAGACCAGGCCAGACTCTGAGGCCTGAGCCTAAGAGACCTTGCGGAGGAGGGGCTGGGCAGGTAGCCCTCTCAACCACAGGCAGGCCATCTGTTCCCACTTGTCCTGCCAGTCTGCCTAGGGAGGGAAAACACCACAGGAAGGAGAGAGGCCAGAAGGCCAGGAACCCAGGGTCTGTTGGCCTTGGCAGACTCATGCAGGCCCCCTCAGGCTCCATGGTCTAGGAGGTGAGCACAGAGAGCATCACTAGACACAAGTGGCCATCAGCAGCAGCCCAGACCCCCTGAGGGGCTGCGGCACCTTGCACTGCAGACCTGCCGCCTCCATCTCCAACAAGGGGCTGCCCAGAAGGGGAGCATGCTCCTTATTATCTGGGCCTTCATCCTCACTCAATCTGCCCTCCCACATCCCTCCTCTGGAGGAGAGTGCAAGTGACTGCCCACCTGGGCAGTGCTGGAGCTGGGAGGGTATGGAGTGGGTAGGAGCCTGGTTACAGCTGCTTTGAGAACCTCTTTGGTCTGGGGATCTGGGAAACATGGGGAGGGGAGATGGAGAGAGGGGATCCTGGAGACTCTGGCCTTCAGACAGGACACTTGTCAGAGGGCCAAGTGCTCAGGTGGAGGATCAGATTTCTGTGGACTCGATGCGCTCAAGGCGGGAAGGGGTCCAGGCCTTCTTCTCCTCACCAAGTTGGGGGGTAGGTGTGCTTGCACCCCCTGCTGCCCCACGCTCCCGCAGCCGCCGCTCCAGCTGCTGGTTGCGCTGGTACATCTCCACATAACTCAGCTGCAGCTGCTTCTGGTACTCAATGACCTTCTCCTTCTCCTCCAGCCACACTCGGCGCTCCTCTGCAAAGCTGGCACCCTGGCGCTCCCGGGCCCGCCGCTCGGCTGCCAGCTCAGCCTGCAGCCGACCCACCTCCCGTCGCAGGGCCCTGGTCCCACTCTCGCCCCCAGCATCCACCTCCCCATCCATGGAAACCAAGGATGCAGCAGCAGCCACCCCAGCCTGACGACGCATCTTGGCCTCATCGCTCTCGCAGGTGGCCAGTGCCTCCTGTGGGTCGGCTGGGTCCACAGGGGTCAGCACTGGCTTGTGGCAGGTGGCAGGCAGCTCACCCTCAGCCAGCTCCAGGCTGGCCTGTTTGCTGCCAAAGGAGTCCCTCAGGCTGAGCAGCTGCTCTTCCTTCTCCCGAAGTGAGGCCCGGCCCTCCCGCAGCTGGGAGCGCAGCCCCACGATCTCACTCAGCTTTTGGGACACGTCAGCTTGTGAGTCTTTCAACTGCTGTTTCAGGAGGGAAATCTCGCCGGCCTTCTGGCACACCTGGGAAGGGGCAGGTGGGAAGAGGAAAAGCCAGGGTCAAGGCACAGCTCTGCTCCCCCCAACCTGACCCCCAGATCTGGCACCAGAGGCACCAAACTTCTATAGGGCTCATGCTCAGCCCATATCAGACAGGACAGGGTTGACACCCAGACCTCCCTGTGGGACCCAGAATGGTCTTGGCTCATCTTATGCTGCCCAGGGACAGCCTCCCATCCTCACAGATACACCAAATTGATTTGGTTCCCTCATCCTTTGCGATGTCCCCTTGCCTTTGCAATAATGTGGGTCCTGAGTTCTCCAGAGGGACAGAAAGAAGGGAAATCAGAGGGGAAAGAAAGGCTGAAGTCCCCTGCCCGCACCTCCCACTTAGTTTCCTCCATCCGGGGCAGGAAGTCGGCCTGCTCCTTCTGACAAGCGGCCACCTTGTCCTCGAGCTCTTCCCGCTGCCGCATCAGCCGGGCTGCCTCCTCCTGCAGCTGCTTCTTGTCCTGCTGCAGCCGCAGCACCTGCAACTGCAGGCCCTGCTGGGCACGCTGGGCACGGCGAGCCACCTGCTGCAACTTCCCACTGCAGCCCTGCCGAAGCTCGGCCAGCTCGCGCTCCCACGCCTTCTGCCGCTCCTCCAGCACCTGGGCCACAGCCGCCTCACTCTGCTCCAGGCTGCGCCGCAGAGCTGCCACCTCCTGCTCCTTCTCCCACAACCGCTCCTCCAGCTCCTGGATCAGTGTACTGGGCGAGGGTGGTGAGCAGGCTGCAAATGGCAGGCCTCCACCCCCACCCTCCCCAGATCCCAGGTGGCCTGGCCGCCCCATGGATAACGAAGACCCACTCTTGCTGGAGGCCCGCCCACTGTCTGAGGTCCCCAGGTCCTGGTACCCTGACCCCCCACCATTGCTGCCACTACCATAGCTGGCAGTGCCGATTCGGTTGATGTGGCTGGTGGAAGCACTCAGGGGTGCCAAGTGTTGGCTGTAGCTGGAGCTGTAGGTGGGCAGGCTTGTGAGTGAGTTCCGGCCTGAGTCTGAGAGGCCGCCCCCACTCCCACCCGCTGGGGTCATGGTCCGAGACTTGTCCAGTCCACCCTTGAGGCCACCAGGGCCCTGTCGTCCCTCAGGGGTTCCATTGGTCTGTGGGGGACACAAGTTCTGCATGGAATGGAAATTCTTGGGTACAACAGGCTTGAAGGCCGATGGCCGAACTAGTGGCTCTGAGCACTGCATAAAAGCAAGGCAGGAGGAATGAACATCAGAATGAGGCCTTAGTCTCAGTCCCAGCCTCCTCCCTCTGGCCAAGACTTGTTCAGCACCACCTCCCACCCTACTGGATCTCCACCCTGAGGTTCCCCCATCTAGTTTTTCATCTTGTGTCTCCCCCAAGCCAGGTCTCTGTCCTGAATCCATCATCTGGACTTGGCCCCAGGGCTCCACCCCACAGCTCCTCCACCCAGCTGCCACCCTGACCCATACAAGAACACCCACCTTGCCCTCCTCTCTGGGCCACTTCCACCCCAGAAAAGGGCTGTGAGGGTCTTAGACTCTGGTGACTGACCTGATCTAGCTTGCCAGAGGTGGCCAGGAGCTTGGGTGGGTGGCTGGGCTCACGATACTGTGGTGGGGCTTTGTCACTGCCACCGCTGCTGCTGCTGCCACCACTGCTGCCCACCACATTGCCACAGACATCTGTATGGTCACTGCCCCGAAGCTCGCCATTGAGGTAGAGAGAGTTGGCGAGAGTTTTGTCCTCAGAGGGGTATCGGCCAGGCCTCTCCCTACTGGTCCCACTGCCACTGCCTCGGGGGCCAGGGAAACTCCCCTGACTGCCCCCACCCCCTGTTCGAGTGCCCACACTCTTCATGGCAAACTCTTGGGCATGGGCCACCCCACTGCCCACACTGCCCATGGCCAGGCGGGGGTCTGGGGGTCCAAGCTCAGAGGGCCGGGGGGCAAAGGCCAGGAGGGGATCCCGCCCTGGATCAGCACGCACAGGCAGGGTCTCCAGCTTCGCCATGACTATGCCAGGAAGGCACTGTGGACAGAGGTGGGAATGCAGAGGTCAGACCCCATTCCCACTGCCACCACCCCAGCCAAGTCAGCCCCAGGCCCTCAGTATCGCCCTTCCCTACAATGGGTACAAGGTTCAGGCATCCCAGGTGAAGTAATAGGGCTGGGTAACAGAGGTAGCCTGGTAGTAGGGGCTGCCTGTTGCCCCAGGGCACCATGCACACACCCTCCCCGCTGTGTTCAGCTCCAAAATTTCTGCCTCCAACCCAGCCTCCCAGATTCAGGGACCACCTCAGCTTTTGGCTCCAACTCCTAGAATTTAGGGGCTCTTTACCTTGGGTCGGGGCCCCTATATCTCACTCAACCTCATGGGCTGGGAAAATGGGTTGGAAGGGGAGAGCAGTACCTGAATCCAACAGGGAACCTCAAGTTAGGGGAGGGAGAGAGACACAACCCTATCCAAAAACTGAGGGTGGGAGTCCTTCCCAGCCCCCTACCCTAAGGTGTTGCAGTCAAGGGCAGAAGCGGAAGCTCACTACCAGCGCAGGCTTCTCTCCTTGCCTTTCCAAGGGGGTGGGGGGCCGCCGGGTCCTCAAGCCTGGGACCCTCTGAGGCCTGGTCTGCAGGGGCCATGTGGCTCACTCTCGAAGTTGGGGCTCAGCCGGAACCAGCCGTGCGACTTTGGACGGGTCGACTGAGCCATGCCAGACTGCAGTTTTCTCCTCTGCGAAATGGGAGGAATGAAGAACCTACCTCGAGGAGCTGCTGCGCGCTACCCACCCCTAGCGGGCGGACGAGGTGGTAAACAGGGGTTCCCAGGGTGATGGGCGGAGCTGAGGCTGCCACGCACGCAGGGGTCGCAAGTGGGCGCCGCCATGGGCGCACGGACAGACGGCAGCGCTCCAGCCGGATGGCAAGGGAACCCTCCCGGAGATCTCCCCAACGCAACCGCATGGCAAGCTGGACCAAGGGGTTCCCCCTCCCGGAAATCGGCACTTTGTAGAGGTCCCAGCGCCGGCCTAGGCAGGGACGCGGAGTTTCCCTCAGGGCCTGCGTTTCCCCCAGGTGGGCGGGGGCCTCCAGGCTCAGCTGCCCCCCAGAGGATACCGAGCCTGCCGAGCCCTGCTAGGAATGCACTGCCACCAGGAAGACTTCCTGGATTACCCCCTCTCCCCACTCCCTGTGGACCTTGACCCTGCTCAGTTTACCGTGAAGTCCTCCGAGCCAGTTCTTTGGGTGTGCGCCCCCTCCCCCAAGGCCGGCCCACAGAGGGGAGAAGAGGGAGAAGGGGGAGCAGGGCCTCGGGTTACCTGTGCTGGGGGGGGGGGCTGCTTCCTGGTTCCTTTGTCTCAAGTCCACACTTGGGATCACCTGCCCCAGAGACCTGCAGAATCCGGCCTGACAGAGGTGCCAGGCAATGCTGGCCCTGGCTAGCCACTCAAATATGTGCGCCAGAGACAGAAAGCAGCGCCCTTCAGGCCCTTAACCCTTAGTGCCCCCAGAAACAAGGCAGCAAGCTGCCCTTCCCTATTAAGGTGAAGAGGTTCATGGGGTGTTCCCTTAAGTGCTCAGCATAGGTCTTCTACCCAGATGCCCAGTTCTAATACTGTGACTTTCCTATCAGCCTCCAGACCAAGACAGTCTGACAAAACTCATTTTCAGGGTCTTCTGGTCACACCAGAAATTATAGCCCTAGGTAGTAGGAAAGTTCACTACCAAGCTGATCCAGTCCTTTGCAGAATTCCATTCTCTCATTGATCCTCCTTCCTCCAGCCAGTCTGTCCCAACACACAGGGCTGGAAGTAGGCTGGGGCAAGAGAGGCCCCTGGGGTTCAAATGAAGTGCAGGATGGGCAGGTGCACCCTCACCCTCAGTCAGGCCTTCATAAATTTTGTGACTTAGGCCTGTCCTGCATTACTCTAGTCCCTACTGAGACTCCAATCTCCAGCATTCTACCCCTTGGCCTAGAAACCTCCTACTCTAAACATGGCCCTGTTCTCTTGCCATTCTTGGGTGTAATGTAGGGAGCAGCTGGGGCTGGGAGGACAGAGGCTCTATGGCCCGTGGCTTGAAACCTGTGGGAAGGGCTGGGGAGGTTTGGGGAGGAGGAACCTGCAAAACCTCAAACAGTTGGAGTTCCAGTGTTGGGGATAATGGAGGAGTTTAGGCTGGGGCACCAGGCTGGTGGGTGTGACACCTTTAACATACAGAAAGAGATTGTTTAGGAGAAATAGCGGCTTTTGAGAAGACCAGAGAAAGATGCTTCTCATGCACTGGGTGGAGAGAGAGACTAGGATTGTCAGGATCCAAGGGTGGTGTGGGCAGGCCCAGCTTCAAGCTAGGGAGGCAGGGCCCCAGAAGTCTGGGGGGTCCTGTGGGAGCAGAAAAAAGGCCAAGGGGATGAGTTGGATGAGGTGATCTGTGCCCACAGTTCCAACTACTAGGGAGGATCACCTGTGCCTGGGAATTCATTGCCAGGCCTGGACAACACAGTGAGACTGGTTCAAAAAGAAAGAATGTGGGAGCACCTCTCCATTAAAAAGAAAGAGAGGGACTAGGTACAATTGAGATAGAAGAGTGTGCCCTGGATTTGGCAACTGAAGACATCACTGGCATCTATGTCAGAATGGCTTTAGAAAAGTGGTGCAAGGCAAAAGCAGACCATAGGGAGGGTTGCAGAGATGGAAGAGATGGCAGAGTTCCCTGCTAAGAGAAGCCAGAGAAGGCCACCACTTAAGGAGGTTTGGGATTCAAGTGCTTTTTTAATTTTAAAATTAAACATGGTTGAAACTTGAATGTGCCTAATATGCCAAAGGAAGAGATCACTAGTGAGATAAAGATCCAGCCAGGGTGCTAGCAAGGGGGCTGCACCAAGGGCCTGGGTGTGGGCAGAAACCTCAGAAGTAAACATTTGGATCATGACAGAGGGTGAAGTTTGGGAGGTCGCTTTGTAAACTGTAAGGTGCAATACAAACATGCAGCACTGAGAATCTGACCATAGGTGGGGGCTGGTCACTGGCCACTCTACTGTTTCCCTAGAGTATGTGTGACCTCCCATCAGGCTCAGATGCTGAGTCCTGAGCCTCCTTTCCCTGTGCTTTACCTGGAGTATCTTTAATTGTCAACTCACAGAAGCTCTCCCTGGAGCCTCCCTCCCCATTCTTGCCCATATTTCTAACCTGTCACGGTCAACCCCTTGCAAGTGTCCTCTGCCCCATGCCTCTCCCACACTTGGGCTGCTGCAGCTCTTCTCAAAACCCCAGCAGGGAGCTAGAAGGATATGGAGGAGGATACTTTCCCTGATAAGCAGAAACTGCAAGGGAAGGGTCAAGGTCCTGAACTGGTCCATGTAACTGGGTGTGGTCTGCAATGGCAACCTCATGGAATCAGCATGGGATGACAGCCTGTTGCCTGACTGCGGCGGCTATCTCTGTCCCATCAAACCTCAGTGCCTGAGACATTGTGCATTGTATTAGTGGTTATAAAGGGGCTAAATGCAGCTCCCTCCAAACTACTGTGGCCACCCAGGCCCTCCCATAGCTAGGAATGCTTGGGGGTCTTGAAGGTCCCAAACCCAAGCCATTCTACTTCCTAAAGATCTAAGTAGCCCCTCCTGCCAGCACCCTTGCTGGGTGTCCTCACTGGTCTTTCTTCTCCCGAACTCCCTCCCTGAGATGCCAGGGTACTCTTTCTAAAGGGCAAAGCCAATCTTGTCTCTGCTCTGCCTATATCCTTCCATGAACAGGGTCAAGGGCAGTAGATGGAGTTCTGGTGGCATCCAAGTGTAAACCACAGCTTGACTGATGGAGTGGAACCTTATGCACGTTACTTCACCTTTGGTTTTTCACACATAGCTTGTAGGAATTTTAAAAAGTACATGTATTATGGGCAAAATGCTTGGTATTCTTTGTGGTCCCCAGAGCCAAGCAGAGCTTGCAGTAGGGTCCCCAGGGCCTCTCCCAATGCCCTTCCCATATCTCCCATGACCTAAGCTCCTCTCCATTCCACACACAACCTTTTCTCAGCTCTCTGTGCCCATCCCATATCCTTCTAGAACCATTCCAAATGCTGCTGCTCAAGACAGCATCCCTGATACCTCAGGAATCTTGGTGCACTTGGCTCAAGACACCCCAGGAAGATTTCACTCTGAAGACACCCCGGGGCTGGCCTGTGGATGCCCCACAGGCAAGAGTCCTAGGGACCTCTGGGCTCTGGCACCAAGACGTGCAGAATGAATGCATGTGGTAATGCTAGTTATGAGCTATGCAAATAGGCAGTGAATCTAGATAGAGAAACCAGGAAGGGCTTCAAGGATAAGAACTGAGGGAGGAAAGGGATCCAGGGGCACTGTAGGGCTTTTGGGGTGCAGAAATCTCCACAACTTCTTGGTTGGGATGTGTGAGGGGAGATGCAGCTTCCCTTGGAGGCGTTGGGACTGGGAGAGAAGAGGGCCCATCCCCTAGATCCTGGCTATGATGAAGTCGATGTTTCAGGACTGAGGGGGCCGATAGCACACCACCACCCCCATCCCGAAGCACACACGCGCGCGCACACACGAGCTTCTGCTGGAGGAGGGGGGTCGTTTTCATCAGCAGCCCAAGGTTCGCTGCGCCAACAGATAGAGACCCCGGCCATAGGCAGTCGGCAGAGGTCCTTGAGGGTCTCTGCATAGGGGGAAATCCCGCCTGCACCTCCTGGGGCTCCCCACCAGCGCGTGTGGCCCCGGGGGGCGGGGCACAGAGAGAAGGTGACATAATCCGGGCCGCACCCCCCTCCGGCCGCCACCCCACCACCACCCCGGCCGGGCAAAGCATCCATGACATCATCGGCCTCAAATCTTCTCCCCTCCCCCCCGGGACCCCAGCAGCGGGACGCGCCCCCTCTCCAGCTCCTGGTCCGGTCAGACAAGCCTCAAGGTGCTGCGGACACGGCGGCGGCTCGCAACTAGGAGGGGCGCCGCGGTGGGCTTGCCTCACTTACTCGCTGCCTTAGGGTCCTGTGCAAGATCTCAGACGCGGCGCTACCGACTCGGCTCGCTGGCGCAGCCCAAAGCCCGCCCGGCGGGGCGCGCGGCGCGGGCCCAGCTCCGCGCCCCTCCCGCTCCCAGCCCGGGCCCCGCCCCTCGGCGGCTGCGGCAAACGCGGGCCCGCCCTACGGCCACGCCCCCCAGGGCCGCCAATCCCCGGTCTGGGGCGGGGCGCGGTGCCTTAACCCCTAGATCGCTGCGCTCCCCCCCTCACGTGGGACCCGGGTCTTACCCGCTCCCGGGCAACTCAAGTCAGCTCGAGTCTCTCTGCTCGTTGCCTGTCCCCTGCCCTCCCAAACCTTTGGGCTGAGTCCCCAATTCGTCCTCTCCAAAAATCCCCAGCGGGACTGCGCACCCCATTCCACATTTGGCGAGGGGACGAGCCCCTCTGGCTGAGGAAAGGGCTCTCAGCTCTGAGCCCTGCGCCCCATTCCTCTCTTGGGCTTGCTCTTCTGGAAGAAGCCTCCCAGCGGACTCCTGAAACCCTGCAAGTCTGCAAGGAGGGGGCGGGACGAGCCGTCGCGGGTGGATCCGACCCCGGCGAGGAAGACACGCCAAGGCGCGAGGACAGCGGACAGAATTGTGGGAGGTGTAAAGCCCAGTAACTGTGTCCAGCAAGCGGACCCGATTTGTAACTTGTTCACGAAGGTTCACCGTCTGGGAAGTGCAACAAGGAGATACACACTACACAGTAGCAGGGTTTGAGTGCTTTGCCCTGTGCTCCGTGCCTGGCGTAAGGCCTGGCTCCAGCCCCCACGTTGCATGCAGTCGTGAAAGAAAACGAGGTGGAGACTTAATCCCCGCCCCAGGGCGCCAGCTTCGCACGCGCGGGCCGCGTTCTGTGTGTGGGGAGGTGGGGGATGTGAGTGCTGGGCGGCCCAGGACTGCCCGGAGGGAGTCGGCCTTGAACCATACCCTTAGCTTCCTTCGTTCTGGTGGGGAAGCAAAAGCAAATTAAACCAAGGGCGCAGCATTAGCCAAAGCCAGGAGGCACCAGGGTCTGTCCTAAAAACCGCAGCGCCTCCACGCAGGCTGGGATTTAACACATTATATCTGTGCTGTGATAGTTGATGTGCTTGGTCTTTTAGCATTCTATTTTTTTTATTTCTTGCTGTTTTCCAAATTTTTTCCACATTTGCTTTTCTACAATTTTTAAGGCAGTTTTGGTTCTCCTAATGATTGCCTTTAATTTATATTTCACATATTAGCTAGTGACTAATCATGTCTACATTCTTTTGAGAAATTAAAAATTTTTTGACACATAAATGTACATTTTATGGGGTTGTAATGAAAAATTTAAGTATCTTTTACCCTCAATCTTTTATTTGTTCACTATATCCAGGATGATAAACCCAACTTCTGTTTATATGTGTGTGTGTGTTACTGGGGATTGAGCCCAGGGCCTTTATACTAAGCTACTTACCTAGCCTTTTTTTTCTTTTTTTTTTTGGTACCGAGGATCGAACTCGGGACCTTGCGCTTGCGAAACAGGCGGTGGAACCACTGAGCCAAATCCCCAGGCCCCCCCCCCCTTTTATTTTGAGACAGAATCTCACTAAATTGTAAATTGCCCAGGCCTCAAAATTTCCATGGTCCTGCCACAGTCTCCCTGAGTGCTGGATTACAGGCATTCTATCATTACATAGATTCCTTTTTGTCAAGGTTTGAGGATGTAGTGCTCACTTCAGCAGCACATATACTAAAATTGGAAGGTTTGAGGATGTAGCTCAGTGGCAGAGCCCTTGCCTAGCATGCACAAGGCCCTAGGTTCAGCATTACAGAAACAACTCTTTTTTTCAATCACTTGGCTTTTGCCAGCCCTATTTTTAGGTAGTTTCAATGTCATCACCAGTTTTGCTCTTGTTTTCCATTCATCATTTGGACCCATCTCTCACATGACTGATGATTTTAGGAAAGACAATTTCCCTAAGCCTTTGCCCTGGGTGAAAATGCCTTCATGGCTGCACAAACGTTTATAGAATTCTTGAGTCTCAAACTCCTCCCCTCAAAATTCTCTTGTCCTTATCTCACTGTCTTCTAGCACTGGAAATTGTAGCAAAGCTGGGCTTCTCTGGTTAGGGCCTGGTGCTTCTAAAGGTTTTCTTTATCCTCAGAAGTCAAACATATTGCCAGTGTAAGTCTCCATGGGTGCCTTTATTTTCCAGAAACAAAGGATGTCTTGTCAGCTTGGAAAAGTCTTCTAATATGTCGCTGTCCATTCTGTGAACAGATTTTTTTCCCTGCCCCCTAAGACTACCACGTTGGATCACCATTGTCAAATCTCTCGCTTCTCTTCACACTGAAAAAAATCTTGTTTTTCACCATCACAGATTTAATTTTCTTCAGTTAAGAGTACTGTTTGTTTTGACAATACATTTCATTCTACTTATTTTAATTTCAATTTCCACTCTACCTCTATTTTTTTTCCTTACAACAGAGGTGTAATCTGGATCTCAACTTTCTCTTTATAGTTCTCTCTTCCTTTTTCAAAGAGAATGTGGTTTTGCATCTTCAGGAAAATAAGAGAACACTATATCTGTTCTAATGCATAGGAAAACCTTGATAAAGTGGACTATTTTCTGGGAAACAACTACAGAAGAAAGATGTTGAAAATATCCAGGAAATGTCCAAAAGACTACACTTAGTTTAAAGGAAGAATTCTCTCAAACTTTCACTAAACAAATCCTCCTCCTCCTCCTCCTGTAAACTAGAGCCCAGAAAAAGCCAGAATGCTATTTCATGTTATGAAGCCACAATTCCCCTTTGCCAATTTCTGATAACAACAGCATAGATAGGAAAACCACAAACCAATCATAATAGTTCAGGGGGGATAATCCTAAGTATAATTAAAGGCATTAAAATTAAATTCTATGTATATGAAGTTAATAAGCTGTGAGTTTGCCATTAAGAAAAAGCAAGGTCCCGAGTTCGATCTCTGGTACCAACAAAAAAAAAGAAAAAAAATCATTAAAATCATTAAATGAAACCATTCACAGCTGGGTATGGTGGCAATGCACCTGTAGTCCCAGCAACTCAGGAGTTCCAGACCAGCTAGGGCAAAACAGAGACTTCATCTCTAAAGAAAAAGAAAAATAGGGCCGGGGATTTAGCTCAGTGGTTCCGCCGCCTGCCTCACAAGCACAAGGACCTGAGTTCAATCCCCAGAACCAAAAAGAAATAGCTGAAATTAAGATTCACTATTATGGGCTGGGGATTTAGCTCAGTGGCACCACGCCTACCTCGCAAGCAAAAGGTCCCGAATTTGATCCCCCATACCAAAAAAATGATTCAGCTGGGGATTTAGCTCAGTGGTTCTGGCACCTGCCTCCCAAGTGCAAGGTCCCAAGTTCAATGCCTGAAAAAAAAAAAAAAAAGATTCACTATTATGTGGTACCCTGACTAGTAAAATCAGGAGGGCCCTGAATGTCTTAACCACAAGCTCCCCTCCCTCTCTGGGCCTGTGGATAAGATTCCCCAGTCAAACAATCTTCTTATCAAATGGATCAGGTATAGTTCCTGCTTATCTTTCAGTAGAGGGTTTTAGTTTGACACCCCTCAGAATTATTCAAAGGCCAAGCACATCCCCTGCAGGAGCCAGGGGACACTCCATCCTCTGGCTACTATAATGTCTGCCCCCTACAGCCTCCAGTTGTTTACTCCATCCCCAAGTGCAACTCTCATGTGGCCTTGTGTGGCTTGTAGTGTCCTCTTCGAGTGTTGGGATTGTATGTAATGTAAACTGCTATCAATCTCACTTGTCTAGTGTCAGGTGTCCTGTTGGCAACTACCATAAACTTAGGGTGGTTATCACGCCTTCACTTTCACCAATTGAATTAAGAGGCAGTGATTGTAACAAAAATTTAAAGGCAGGGGGATCCCAAGTTGGAGTCCCACCAAGGCAACTTAGTATACCCATCTCAAAAATTTAAATGGACTGGGTACGCAGCTCAGTGTGAAGTCCCTGGGTTCAAATCCCCAATAAACCCCCATACACATACAAAAATTCAAAAGAATGATAATATCCCATGTTGGTAAGGCTATAAGGAAACAGGACAGGCACAGTGGGGCTTGTTTTGCAGTCTTAAGGACTGGACCGATGGCCTCAACATACTAGGTAAGTGCTCTATCATTGAGCTACCCATTCCCTAGCCCTCAAATTGTTTTAGGTTAAGAGCTATTCAATTTTGGGGGGGGGGGGGTTGAGACAGGATCTTGCTATGTAGTTCAGGCTGGCCTCCTTGAACTCATGGTGATCCTTCTGCCTCAGTCTCCCAATTGCTAGGATTACAGGCATGTGCCACCATGCCTGGCTTCTATTCAATTTTTAAAGAAATTAGTTATATATCATAGGAAAAGATAAAGCTCTAATCATCTTCTAATAGTACAATGAGCTTAATGCCAAAAACTGACAAGTGATATAAAAGAAGAAAACTGTGTGACTGATTAATCATCTGTCTTCTCCACTACCTTATAGGATCCATGTGGAAAAGATCCTTTTTTAAAATTTCATGTCTCCATCTAATACTCAAATAATGGCCTTTCAAAGATGTCAAGTCCTAATCCCTAGACCCCATGAATATGTTTGGTTATACAGCAAAGGGAGATAAATATTGTTCTGATCAACCCATTTTAAAACAGAGATTAGCCTGAATTATCCAGGTGGGCCCAGAGTAATCACAAGCGTCCTTAAAAATGCAATAGGAACACAGAGGAGAGGGAAAAGGAGATATGATTACAGAAAAATGGTCAGCAATAGGGCATAGTTGGTTTTACAGATCAAGAAAAAGGGCCATAGGCCAAGAAATGTGGGTGGCCTCTGAAGACTTGAATCTCCTGAAAGGAACACAGCCCTACCCTGATTTTAGTCCAGTAAGACTTATGTTGGACTTAAAGTTATAGAACTGTAAGATAATAAATCTGTGTTGTTTTACAGTGAGTTTGTGATAATTTGTTACAGCAGCACTAGAAAACTAATATACATAAGAGATGCTCATTCATTTGTTGAATGATGAAACTGCAAAACCCTAGGTCTATAGATGAATGGGGAAGGAGAAACAGATTACTCACAGAAACAAATGGCCAATAAGCAGTTGAAAACATTTAAGGCTTGCTGATATTAAGGAAATGTAGGTGAAAATCTATCAAATTAGCAAAGACTGGGCCAGGGATGTGGCCCAGTGGCATGGTGCCTGCCTGGCAAGTCCAAGGTCCTGGGTTCTATACCTGGTACTGAAAAAAAAAAAAAAAATTAGCAAAGACTACTCTGATCCTGTGGGGTCCTGTCCATCAGGTCATCAGGAAGGGGCCTTGGGGCTTCTGTAGGATGGCTGTGCTGTTACCTCTGAACACTAGTCTGGGGACACAGGAGGTACTGTAATCCATGCTAACACTTAAGATGTTTGTACTAAAGTTTTTACAGCTATGTTTGCTTTATGAGGAAATGGAAACCTCTGGAACTGGGCCAAAGATTCCTGGGAACTACTAGTAAAGGTCTTGGGGGTTATCTAGACCAATATAAAAGCATAACTGAAATGGTTATGATAGGTCTTTTACAAGCTGTTTTCTAAGCTAAATTGTATAACCATAAACACACATGTACAGATGGTCCATAAAAAATGTTAAGGGAGGGGCCTGGGATTTAGCTCAGTGGTTTCACCGCCTGCTGCGCAAGCGCAAGGATCCGAGTTCGATCCCCGGTACCAAAAAAAAAAAAAATGTTAAGGGAAAAAAATGAAAAATAAATATTTATGACTATTCTCCTGATCACCATTCTTTACGAATTACACATTTTACCTATGGCTTATGCTTTTATGTTCCCTAATTTCCTTCTGTAAATTCTTCCCCGTGTTCCTGGGGATGGAACCCAAGGACTCACAAATGCTAGGCAAGTGCTCTATCACTAAGTCACATTGCCATTCTCTGTCCCCCACTCTAACATTTAATGTTGTTTGGATAACTGACAAGAGTAAAAATTCATCTATACCTACACACTCTAAACTTCATTACAAAGTATTAGATACAAAGTAAAAACAAGGGCCAGTCACCACCCCAAGCAAGTTCTATGTAATCAC